CTGTTATACTGTTTATGGACTGTACATGTTTTTCAGCATTTGATTGTCTTAACACTAAATATTGACTCAGATTGGCAGATATTTTCAACGAGATTAATCAAATCAGATTATTTTTTATTTGTCATGAAGTGTGGGGTTAAAACTGGAAATCTTTTATGAATTGAATGTCCCATTACAATTCACAGAGTAACCATTTTACTTTCATCCTCCATTCTTCATTGTTTCCATTCTCCATGAAAACAAGAAGATGGTGGATTCTGTGTTTTGGGAGTACGGTTTTCAATGTAGGAGAATAAAACCTTCTCAAACGTGCATGCGTGCGTATAGGACGGGCAATACTGGAAATAAGTGCAATATGTGAGAGTAGCCGGCCATAACGGTGTATAGTGCAAAATTTTCCATTCTTTACACAAATCAATATGCATCTTGAAGTGTTGGCTCAGCTGCAATTTTAGCAGCAAATGGCAAAGATTATGCATGAAAATCACATGTTTGATTCATTATTGCACAATTCTTTTTATATAATGTGCAGCCCTGGTTTACTGTATGTTGTTCATTGTTTGTTAATTTTACATAATGTCTCTTTTCAACACATGACCCATTTAGAATTCAGCACGATACACCACACTGATCTGTGGAGCCGTCTGACACCCCCTGTCCAACCCAATCTGCAAAACTACCAAAGAAACTTGAAAACAAATAGATTAGCAAATATGTTCCATGACATGTCGTTTCAGTGACAAGAGGGCCACTTTAGTTCATCAAATTGGACCTGGGGCCGACATCCTGGATTTTAAAAACTAGATTTTAGTTGGATTGACTGGATTCTGGAATTTAATGACACGTCATTGATTCTCACTACAGCGGCATTTTATTTGGAATGTTGTCACAAAACAACTTCCAACAAGATTTACGACGGGGTATAGCGTTGCGTGACTGTATTGAGCTGAAGTTGGTTGGATGACATTGTCAAAGCGCCTCAAAGCGCAACTTTGTGTAAGCAGCAGAGTGCCACATAAAATGACAGAAAGGGCCGCAATTGGCCCACGGGCCTGAGTGGGGACATGCCTGGACTAAACAATCCAAGACTAACAGCCATATATCGATTTGGGATAACTTTTTAAAAATGCATTTGTTTTGTTTTACTTAATGCCGCCTTGTCTACGTAATATGCTTAAACATGTCAGCCAATAAGCCTGTCCCACTCCCTCCACACCAAGAATCTCATAATTAAGGTATCATTAGCGGAACAACAACAGAGACGTAGGTTTACTGGGCAGTGGTGCACAATGGGACCATTCATGAAAGACACCACTTCACTGGAGGAAGGCAGCAGCAGTAGAAGCTCTTAGCATTTGGGCACATGTAATTGCGATCACTCAGCCTGTCTGATGCTGATAATGGGGCAATGGGAAATTCCTGTCAGAATCTGTGGCGCAATAGTTATGGAAGAATCCACGTTTCATTGAGGAAAATGGGTTTTAACTTGTTCGCATAGCTGTCATTAAACACATTTAAACAGGCAAAAGTGAGCCCATAATGCACTCAGGTTTATTATACAGGATAATATGACAAGAACACACCAATCAATAAACGTCACGATGCGGTAGTTAATTATACTGAGTTGATTGGGAAAATATGAGCAGTTTCAACATGAGAAGGTGATTTACATATTGATAGCTTGAGCAATGTACACTGAGCAAAAACAGAAACCTTTGTTTTTGATCCCATCTTTCTCACAAAACATGGAAGAAAAAAACATTTATATTTTTGTTCAGTGTCAAATTAAAACAAAAGGTATAAATCTGCAATGAGGCAAGTGGGTGATTCCATTTGGTCAAGTTACAGGTTAGATCCGTCAAGAAGGGTTTGTGAGCTATAAAAACACTACCAGCTTTGAATAAATGTATGACCTTCAGTCATACAAAGCAGTCATGCAAGTCAGCGTGTCATCCTGGACATGGATGTGAAACAATCTCTACACAAAATGCTTCAAAATGTATGCATGTTGATCTAAAGTAAATAACTACTTATAAGTGAGACAATAGTTAAAATATGTGTTTATTCAAAATAAATTATATAGAGTTTCAAAGCAGGTGCTTAAGAACAAGGATTTTAATACTGTGCTCCTGTTACTCTGTGCTCATCATAAAGAACATTACAAGTTATTTATCAATGATAGGATTAATGTTCCTGTAACAAGTAAACACATTTACCACCAGTTCAGCACTCAGAATACTGAGCCCACTCACAAACCTGAGCCGAGTCCATGGGTTTCAGGTGCATCACTGCTGAGACACTAGTGACGGTTGGATCTCTGGTCTCCCTGCTGCTGGTGTAACATTACAAATGACACATGGTCATATTCAAGGAGACAAGAAGGTGTCAGGAAATAGGGATAATTACCAAATACTGTGTACCACAGTTATTTCTCTTCTAAATATTGAGGCTTTTTATCCTGGCAGGGTCCACTGTGATGATAGACAACACCTAACAGAAGTGAGTGAGTACTTTAGAATCTGCAGTCTCTACAAACATGTGTATGAATCAGAGCCAAGTAAAGTGTTTTTGTTGAGGCGGGACATTTTCTGCATCTTTGTTTTCATTTTTCATTTTAATGACATTTTTGTCATGACGTGTAAAGTTTGCCATGGGAAAATGAGAGCCTGAGGCCTGTAGTATGGTGTAATTTATTTAGAAATAATAAGGCCCTGTTTGGGTTTGAAAGGAGGGAGAGTTGTGTGGTCCAATGTGGGTGCAGCTATGTCCCTGAGGTCGTTCTGTGGAGATTCTCAGCATAAGAAGTGGACTGTATTATGTAATGGACTCGGATGTACACAAGCCGAGTTTGACCAACGAGACAGGAATTTGCACCATAATGTAAAAAGCCTTGTTAAGTCCCAAAATGAGGCCCACCCACAGCTGTGAAGGAAATGAATCAAGTGTCTTTGGCTATATCTTAAAGGGCGCTTAGTTTCCCAGATTCAGATCTGACAATGGTCAAATGTTGTTTCCAGATAATTTTTTCACAAGAACTACATATTCAATCCATCTTCAAAATGTCCAAAATACTTCTTCCACCTGATGATGTCATGAGGTGGTGCTGTCATGGAGCTGTGACATGCCCACCCACCTCGAGTTTCCAGTCAAATTATCAGCTTATCTCAAAGGGATTACAAAAAAAAATAAAGCTTGAAAGCTTGCTTCGGTCTCACTGACTGCAGTGTAATATGGGACTCACTCTTTCACTGCATTCAACAGATCAGTGGATGCAAAATAACTTTCTTCAGTTAAACTCAAACAAAACTGAAATGATTGTCTTTGGTCCCCAGAAACAGAGAGCGTTATCGGTCACCTTGACTCTCTATCTAAAACCCTCAAATCAGGTCAAATATCCAGGGAGAATTAAAAAACATAATGGACTCAGACAAAAATTTGAATAGCCAGATAAAGTTAGTAAAATCTGTCACTTTTTACCATCTAAAAACTTTGCAAGAATCAAAGTGCCCAAAGCAGACAATGAGATTCTATGCATTTGTCTCCAATAGGTGAGACTATTGTAACTGCCTGCTGACTGGTCTCTCCAAACGGTCCAGTCCTCAGGTCTCTGCACTGGCTTCTTGTGGCTCAGAGAATAGACTTTAAAACAGCTCTGCTTGTTACAAGTCTCTCCATGGTCTCGCACCAAAATACATTAGTGACATATTAGTATCATACGAACCAGCCCGGACTCTGAGGAGCACAGGGACTGGACTCCTGTTGGTGCCCAGAGTCAGAACTAAACATAGCATTTCAGTTTTACGCAGTGAAAATCAGAAAATCTTACTGAAAATGTGAGACAGGCTTCTGCATACAACTGAATGATTGAATCTTCAACCTTTTGAATTTACTGTGAATAATTCGTATCTTAAAGCCCTGTTTTGTGGGCACTGTGAGATGCCTTGTGTAGGAACAGTGCTATACAAATAAAATTGCCTTGCCTTCCCCACTCAGCTTTGTGGCAAATAGTGACGATAAGACCTACTGAACATATATGTTTAAAATCTGGTTCTGAAATCACAAATGTATGAAAGCTTTTCACATAATATTCTGTTTTAAATGAGGTTTGTGGGCTGAAAACAAGCACCATGCCCTCAAATGTGAATTATTTGGATGTTTCAAAACACAATATACAATAGGCACAAATCTACATATTCATGTTCCTTCACTGCACTGTTAAAAATGTGTTTTTATACACAGCAAGCTGTCTATAACACCACCATTCGGCTAAAATCAGGGTTGCGTGCCTACGAGCCTAGAAGTCTCTAATTGTCCGTATAATATATGACGACAATTTTTAATCACACTTGCCTCATATATAGACTCACTATATGATCATGGAGATGTTTCCAATGACTATCTCAGAGCAGGTTTCTTTCAAACACCTTTTGTAAGTTCGACCAAATGAATGACTAAATATACATTTATTTTATCTGTGGTTTAAACATTCATAGAGTGTAAATCAACAAGAATTATATAATTTACATCTCAACATAAATACTGAGTAACACAAATGCAGCTTACATACCTCTCTGTATGTTGGGAAATATACATTCAAAAAAACATTTATTAGAAAATAGCACATGGTTTTGAGTATGTATACATATGGGAAAGAGACATTCAACTCTGTAAGACATGGTTAGGCCTTGTATGAGTATTTGTTATGGTCCAGTGTACTTCACCACTAGCTTCCAACATGCAACTTGCTTTTTCAGTCTTGATATTTGCAGAAAACTTCAAAAATATGAGCCTTTTGTCGCCCAAGCCCACATGTCGAGTGTCCTTAAAAGCTGCTGTGCCTTTATTATGTCCATGGGTCTGTTATATTGTCTTTCGTCATGACTCAAAAAAGTCCTCGATGCACCTCAGACGTCCTGCCTGATTTGGTGAGTCTGGAAATGTTCAGAAGTCCATTGGCGAATGATTACAATCCCAAACAGTTCCAGGATTTAAAGCAGTTGCTATACCCCCAGTAGCATGCCCATGAAGTCGGATCCATTCTGTATTGTAATAGAAGCTCCGGCTGCGTTGTCCACAAATATGGAGGTGTATTGTCCCGCCTGCAGAGAAATGATAAACAATGATTTCATGGGGACACAGGAGAAGTGCAGGGCTCAAGGTAAAAGTTTGAAATAGGGTTTGAGTTGAACTTCAGACTCTTGAATAGACAGAAACTCATCACATTTATCACTTTTTCTTTGTGGGCTTCGTAAAGTGGTCTTAATCTATTCCAGGAAATATTTCTGTGAAAAGATAAAGCTAGATTCGGCTGATCAGCTATTTTAAGGGTTAGGTAACTCAACAATACGCAGAATACCCAGTTCATCTGAATTTGTCTAATGCGGCTCACTTGAATATTTATAGTGAAATACTTTCATATTTCAATGACATTTTAATTACTTATACTCAGATATGTGGAAGGTTTTCTAGCACTGGAAATAAAAGAACCTGCTTTTGCTATTAAGCCAGTTTTATTAAACATATTATTTGTATTTTGTAGAACCCAAATAAAACCAATTGCAAAACCCAAACAATACATTTAAACAATTTCCTTTTTGCTAACACTAAATAATAAGACATTGGTTTTATACAGCGTTTTCTTGGACAGTCAAAGACACTACACATGTCATTATTCATTCATTAGATATACGGTGGTGATAAACTACTGCTCTAGTCACAGCTGCCCTGGGGCACACTGACAGAAACGAGGCAACCAGTATGTGGCACCGACCCCTCTGACCACCACAAACAATACGCACGCACACCAGACTTATTCTAGGCAATGGGTGAAGTGTTTTTCCTAAGGACACAACAACAGTTTGGCACTTTACAGCCGCAGCCGCCCCACTGTGGCATCAGGTGTTCCCAGAGGACTCCCATCACAGCACTACCCAGGCCCTGCCCTGCACAGCTTCAGAGGTCTGATAGTCTCACTTACACCACAGACATGTGAAAGCCGGATTATATATATGATATAAAAATAATAATAATAATAGTTTTAGACAGATTTGATTTGTTGCAGTTGTTTCAAGATGAAGGCCTTCGAGAAACAATAACAACTGAATATTGTATTTTTAATAATACGAGTGCATCAGTACCTGTAGCTCCAGCAGTCCTTGGACACTGACGGTGAATATTTTGCTGTTACTCTCCAAACCAACAATCATTTCGAGGGATCTGAAAAACAAACAAAAGTTCAGTAGGTTAAGCACTTTTCTCTGTGATCTATTTAAAGCGTACTAATGAGGTGTCATAGGAGTTAGCCACACACAGAAGCAGCACTGGCTCCTGTTAAGTGGAAAATCCTCAGTTTTTACGCCAAATCCATCACGTTTTTCTCTTTCCAAATGTCATCCAAACAAGACGTATTTCACATTCCCTGCATGTTCCCGTGTGGGAGGCAGACAGCATGCGGCTCAGTGCTTCTGTGGGTTTGGTAAGACTTCATTATGATATTATTTATACGTTTTTTTCCCCCTGAACTCTGTTTTCCAGGTAGAGACTTGTGAGACCTCTTCATTTTAGTCTGTTCTCACTACCTTTATTTAACCAGAGATGTTTCAGTGATGTGTGAGCAGTGGGAGCAGTGGGAGATTGATGCTTCTCTGTATTGGAAAGACCAGAACCAAGACTTTATGGATTTCTTGTTATGAATCATTGTCATACAGATTTTATGGGATTGGACATTTTAAATAATTGCATATTCAAAAAACATATTATACCTTCCTTTTTCATATTTAGAAAATTCATTCACATCTTCTTCATATTAATTGTTGGGTTGTTGTGAATAATTGTTGGGTTTTCTTCTATTCAGACACAGCATTTTCTCCTAGTGTCTGAATTGAAAACACAATTTTTCACCCATTCATCAATTTTTTTTCCGCTTTACCAATTTATTAGTTTTTATTACATGTGTATTTTTCATTTCAATAATCTACTGGAGTTGATTTGAAAAGTTTCATCATTGTTTTGTCTTTAAGCAATAATCATAATAATATTAATAATTGTATTCACTTCATAGCCTTCCGTGTAAACTCACAAGTTTTCATCCGGCAAAAGTGACCTTTTAACGTGCGGTAAATAGTAAGATTTATGACTTGAATTATTGTCCGAAAGTGTTCCTAAATACTAATAGTAGCAGGCACTGTGCTAAGCTGCATCATTAGCTGTTTCCCACCTCCACAGGGGGAGGGATTTGACGGTCGCGCTACTGCAGTAATAGGCTTCCTCTGGGGTCAGAAGTCGCTTCATAAAGATTAGTTTGGCGACAGGGACCACAGCCCTAAACCAGAAGACATGTCCTTTTAAGACCTGCTCAGACCTTTACGCAGGAAATGCCAAAGTGGTTCCACACAAACTGTAACAGACAACATTTTTAACGCTTCATAAATCTTAGCGGGCGTTAAGGTTAGCATTTAGCGCTCATATGACAACAGGGAGACTGTGTGCGCTATACTTCCTGAGATCGCTCTTACACAATTGGTGTAAGAACAGCAGGTTTATAGAGTCTCTCAATGAAAAGCACATGCAGAAAGGCTAGTAAACAATGAGAAGGTTACCGAGGAATTGACCTGGCAATTAGGGATTGCAATACAGGGCAAGTTAGTGGAGAGGGAGACCAACATCTTCTCTTGATTATTGTTATAGTAAGTAACGACATGTTCAGATCAACATCATCTTTGGAACGTCCTGCCCGAGGAGATAAGGCTTGCACCATAAATAACATAAGGTAAGTCTCTTGTGCATATGTTATATTTTATACTTGTTTGTGCAGCACTTTGGAAACAGGATTGATATTTGAATGTGCGGTATGAATGAAGTGGATTGGATTGGAATAACTTTTTATCGACTGGCCTCCCCATAACTGTCTGTTTTTAAAGTCTACATGTGTTTCACTTTTCCACATTGTCTTTGTTTTGTCTTTCTTGTTCACTGTCTGCTCTAATCTCCTGTACTTCTCGTTATGTTACGTTATACTATTATGACTGTTGTGATTTTATTGGCTTTATGCTGCACTGTTTTTGAAAAGTACTATACAAATAAATATGCATCATTATTATTATCAGTATTATCAACAACATGCAAATGGAAATATAAAAGATAAACATTGGAACATTGTCCATGAGATAAATACTTCTCAAGCCATATGGTGGATAGTTACAATTTAGGAACAACATGGAAAGTGTCGGAAACAAGGACTGCATGCTTTAACTGAAATGTTTGCAATTATACAAATCTGGTGATGATTTATTGACTAAAAACAGCAAACTAGACTTTTGTGTATATATCATCAGACAAATACGTACGTGTATCTATGGCAGAGAGAGTCGATGCAGATCAGGACTCGCACATTGTCCCGGGCTTTAAGCTGACTCTTGCTCCTCTTCATTTCATTATGATCTGAGCAAAGACAAAAGGATAGATATGTCAGGTTTCAGTAAAGTTACTATATATGGTACATTTGAACAATATTCACCAATGTGGACATTTGCAGAGAACTGGTAGATGCCTGTGATGGGGGCCGTGAATCGGCCTGTGGTCTGGTCCATGCCGGATCCTCTCAAGAACGCTCCTTTGGCAGGAGGCTAAACAAATACAACAACAAAATGCATTGGAATCATCGTTATATTCGTGTAACACCATTACAGAATTCTGTTGATATTGGGCCTATCTAAAAGATAAGGTGAGGTTTATGAACAGATACATTACACCAAACATGTTTACAAGAGCCCCAGACTGCTGTGTATGAGATTGCTTTGTCTGCCATTGTTTCAAAGCATAGTAAATCATTTATCTACTACTGAGAAATAAACCTGCCTTTTGTTGCAAGTAGCTACCTATTAATTATCCTTAGTGCTTTCACACTTGACAAGGAAAACCAACATTCTGTATCTCTATGATGTTCATGCATGGAGTCCCCTCTAAAAAAAATCTTACACTACTTTAATAAATTGACTTTTTGATTACGTCGAATCAAATCCTTTTAAATTTGTATAGCCCAAAATCACAACAGCAGTCGTCTCCAAGGGTGTTATAGGCCTGTGGAGTCCTATAACACCTGAGTAGGTCACAAAAAAAGACAATATTAAAACTGATTGGTCCATAGAGCTACTGAGTAACCAATGCCCATTCATTATTTCAATCAATTAAAATGTACTTGTATACATGTAGGTCTAGTTCAAACTTTACATCATTGAAAAAAATCCCATATTCGTTTTGTATCCATGGAGACAAGCTGAAAGTTATGGCAGACGTCAGCATAACACCCACTTTGCTAAATGTTCCACGTCAGTCAAGAAACACATCAGCAATTTCATCACGTTGACTCAATGAATTTTCTGTCTGAACTTCGAACATTCATAACATAACAGCAGTCATATTATTGAGTGAATTGGTCCCAGCATGGCCTAGTTGTTCCACTGCAGCATGTTTCAAACAGTGTCTATTTCTGTCCTCTCCGCACTCTATTCCAGCTCACAGACAGAGTGGCTTTGTACTCTGTGCGGAGAGTTCTCAGCAGAATTGAAAAAGTGGGTATTTTTTGACCCAAGTGCCAGTCGGAGGGGAGATGGTCCACCACATCTGAGCTATAAGCAATGACTGTGCAAAACAGAGTGGGATTAATGGGATGGAAACAAAGAATAACACTTTGGATTCTCCAAACTGTATTTTTAGCTTATTCCCATGAAAATACTTAAAGCTATTATAAGAATGTTTGTGTTTAAAGAACCATTTTGGTTATTTATGGAATTAAGGCACATTTACAACTAAACCTGTTGCCAACATTCAAATTGCTGCACAAATTGCTCGGTTAAAACATACAACAACATTTGTTCAATTTTCAATTGAATTCAATGTATTCTTTTATAGCCCTAAATCACAACAGTAGCCATCTACTTGTTGGCGATTTCAAAACCGTTAGACGCTGTCCAACAGACCATCAAGGTGATGTAATATGTCCTTACTGTCTGAAAGTTCTGCAGCTCCACCAGGGTTTTCTTGTCCACGAGCACTGGTCCTTTGAGTTTGCAGTGGAATGCTTCTTCTACGCGGCGATATGACGTCATGGCGTCCAGAGCGAGCAGAGGAGCGGGCAGCAGACTGGGACTGGCCACAGCTCTGTCCAGGGCCACAACTCTCCTCTCCGAAGCCTCTGTTACAGAACCACAAGAACGACCACACTAAGAGATGTGAAAAGTGCACATGACATGTCATGGTTTTTCCTATGTTATGTTCTCATTGGAAAAGGTTTCAGCACTTTGTGATGAAACATGAACACAGCACTCTGTGGCTCGTCTCCCCAACAATGGAGAAATCTACAGAAGTAGGTTCCTGATTGGTTCTTGCCAACTTGTACAACAAGCTGTTGTAACCTAATATGAACCTGATTAGAAAATAATGGATATCTGTGGATTAATGGAGGGTTGGTGTGAAGTACAGACAGGTTAAAGTAATGAAAGTATCAGTCATTTCATTTGATACCTCACATTTGAAAATGCACTATTTTTCTGATTATCAAACTCCAACATGTGAGGGTGAAATGCAGCCAGCGAAAATTCAATTTGGTAGACGTTAACCAAAATTACCCCCTCCAGGCCGGCTCGCATCCCCAGCCTATCGCTCAGCAGACGCCCCCTTCCAATCATCTGTACCGACTCGCCAGCCGCATAAAAACGGAGAAACTCCCACTCTCGGCCTTCTCGAAGCCTGCAACCACCGCCTCCCCTCCTCCTCCTCTTCACCCTGCCTCCAATCTGCCTTCAATCTGCTTCCCGCTGCCAAATGCCGCCACCAGTGCCTAGGTCCCGGGGGATTGTGCGCGCTCCATCGCAGGAGCCTTTCCGATCTGAAGGCCGCACCGGGACCTAGGGCGCCAAACCTCCTTTCAATAAAATACTCAAAACTTCCTGTTTCTCGTCTCTCCAAATTGAAATATTGCTTCAGTTCACTTTGTGTGTGGACCCAAATAAAACCTGAGGAGCTGATGTTGGATTTAGAAGATGGATATAATAAATACAGAAGACATAAATTCTCATCACTGAGTCAAGGAGCAGCTGATGAAGTGCAGAGAAAGAATTTGATCATAAAGTGTAATTTGGGACGAGACATGTCTGATTAGAGTTGAACAGAAAATCAATTTTCAACCATACAAGCTGATGTTCTTCAGTGTTCACCAAATCCAAATGGTCTGCTTTCACACCAGCCCAAATGAACCGAACTAAACCAAAAAAAGCATCTCAAAACAAAGTGGATGCATAATTGAGGCGTTTTACCTTTAACCATTTCTTTGAACTCCTGAAGCAGCACTTCCTGAGTGACTTCTGCCCCTGGAGCTCCAGGAGGGCCCTGCGGTCCTGGGGGGCCAGGCGGGCCGGGTGGACCTGGCTGATCATGGACAGAAACGACAGAGAACAAAATTGATGGCAAATAAATGAATCTGAATCTGAATCTGCATATCAGTAATATTACATCACATATTCCTACAACTCAGAAAGACGGAACCCTTGCTAAAAGTGAAGATTTTTATATTTTAAAATTTCAGCCATTCAGCCGTACGTTCAAATTCTATGATGAAGACACTGTCAGTGAGTGTCCAGTTCTTTACAGGGACTCACCAGAGGCCTTTTCCTTTTGCGACATTTTCCAGGAAAGTTCCCAACCGGCCGCTTCACAAAATCCATCCACGATCCCAGTGGGTCCACTCTCTGCTGCTCAGACACCTGCACAAACAAGTGTGTACATACAACTAATTAAGTCTATTTAAATGCAATGCTATAATTCACAATTTCAACCCATCCATCATCGAATGTCACGGTCGGCCTGTCCACTTGATCCTGAAGATTTGTTTAATTATCTTTCCCACATTCCCCTGTTTATACCTGACACGAAAATCGAAAGCAGAATAAATGCTTTCTCTGTCGGCATATTCCAAGTGTCACTTCAGGACCTTTTCATCCAATAAGACTTAAACGTACACAAATAAACCATGTCAAGTGCTTTTTTGGAGAGACCCTGTGGATATTTCCATGAGCTGCTAACTGAAAATGGGTGTGTCTGTCTGTTCACATGCAACTGGCAGACTCAATTAGTCCAGAATAACATGTCACAGCTGCCCAGTCCCACACATCCATATTATATAGGGAGAAACAGAGCATACATTTATTTTATTCTCCCTTTATGTTTATGGTAATGACCGTATGTCAACAATGGTATGAGAAACTGAAACTATAAAAGAGTTATACATAGCATATAGCATTCTGCAGTTGGTTTATTACAGGGGTCTCAAGAGTGTGGCCCCCTACTGGACACTGAAGATTAATATGAGTACGGTCCCCACTGAGAGTCTGGGCTAAGACGGCATGTTATACATCATTTTAAAGATAGTTTTATCAAGAAAACAACCACAAAATGTATAATATCATAAATATTGAACCCTGAATGCAATAAGTATTTATAATGAGTAAACTTTAAAATATCTTGATCAAGTGTTTTCCTGTTTTTGTCTCTGTTCTGTAAGCACAAACATTTACTTTCTCAACTGTTATTGTTAAGGTATTGATTATCAATCCAGGAACTAAACTGAGTGTGCAAAGCAAAAAACCAAGTGCAATTTTAGTAATTGAATGCCATCTCTACATTTGCAGAGATCTGTGCTCTAATGATAGAACATTTTGCACCCACATAAACTCATGATAAAAATACCCCTTTATGTGGCCCAAAACTAGGCCTTGTGCGGCCCCCAGCTCAATTGAGTTTGAGACCCCTGGTTTAACAAGAGCAGATGATCAGATTGACTGGACAGTGTTTTACAGATTGTTTCAATTAGACAGTATCTACAGTCTAATAAAAATGTATTTTTCATTCACGTAAATTGTGCGGTAGAACCATAGAACTTCTTATAGATTCATAAATTATTTCCTGAGCAGCTTCTGTCTAGAAAAGAGGATCTGAAATGTCTTAAGAGCAGCATGGAGCTTCTTTCCTTCCAACTCTGAGATTGCCCTGAACAGTAGGTCAATGATAGTCCTTATCAGTACGTGGGACAGGAAAAAGCCCCCCTGGGGAAACCCAGAAAGGGTGCGAACTGGGGGTTATTTTTTTTTTTTTATTTTTTAGGCAGTAAGAAATTGGTCATAAACCCAGCCCCCCCGTTCTGTTTTTTTATTACCCTCTTCCCCCCAAAAACCCCCCATAGAAAGCAAAAAAACCCTATTCCCACAATCCCCCACGAAAAGCCCAAAATTCCTAATTAGTTCGAAAGGAGTCCCCCCACCCCGCCTCAAAAAGAATCCGGCCCCCCAAACATAGACCTTTATATTTCCCCGGACCTTTCCTTTTTTTTCCCCCCCCCCCCCTGTTTTTTTTCAAAAAATAATTTATCCAAGCGTATTTTTTTTTTTGTTTGGAAAAAAAAAATGCCTGAAACCCAAACAACAGGCTTATTTTCTCCCAAGGTTTGGGGGGAAACAAGTATCCCCCCCAAGATAGGGTGCCCCCCCTAATGGTTCCCCACCCCAAAAACAAGAAAAAACAAAAAAAATGGATATCCCCAAACAAGTCCCCCCCCCCCCCCCCCCCCCCCCCATCCCCCCCCCCCCCCCCCCCCCCCCCCCCCCCCCCCCCCCCCCCACCCCCCCCCCCCCCACCCACTTTTTTTACTTTCTTAAAGGTTAAAAAATGGGGCGGGTCCCATTGGGCCCCCCCAAACATCCTTTTGTTGGAAAACCCCAACCTATACCCCCCCAACCCCTTTTCCTTTTTTCCCGATTTTGAAAATAAAATAATGAACTGTAAAAACCCTCAGAAACAAAAAAAGATAAAAGTCACCAAATAAAAAAAAACCCAACCTGCCCCCATTTTTTTTTTTTTAAAAAAGAAACCAAACCCAATTGCCCCCATTAGAAAAACGTTGGGCCCCCTCTCCCCCATTTATGTACAGGGGTTTTTTTGCCCCCCACATTATTACAAGGTCCCCCCCCCCCCCCGGAAAACCATAACCCTTTTCCAAGAATTAAAAAAAATTTTTGGGCCCAATGGCCCCCCAAAAAGATTTGGCTAATTTACCGTTATACAACGTCACCCCCCCCCCCCCCCCCCAAGTTCCCCACAGAAAAAAAGGGAAGCAAAAGTTTCCCCCCCCCCCCCCCCCACCCCCAGGAAGGTATTTTGTGGGGTTTTACCCCCACTTTGGCATTTGCCCCCCGGTAGGGGTTATATCACCCCCCCCCCCCCCCCCCCCCCCCCTTGGTTTTAAAAAGGCCAGCCCAAAAAAGGAAAAGAATTACACCAAAGAAAACACCCCGTCCCCCCCCAAGTCCCCCCCCCCTCCCCCCCCCATATCCCTCTAAAAAAAAAATAAAAGCCAGCCTGCCCCCTTGAATTTGTTTTCCCCCGTTTGGGAAATCAACGTTTTTTTTTTATAAATAAAAAAATATAAGTTTTTTTCCCCCAATTCAAAACAAAACCAAAATTACCCCCCTATCCCAAATTTTATTTTTGAAAGTCAACAATTTCCCCACAAGTAAAAAAAAAAATTTTTAATCCCTTTTCCCTTTTCCCATGCTTAAAGCTTTTTTTTTTCTGAAAAGGCTTTAAATGGGGCCCCCCCCCCCCGAGATATTTGGGAAGGGGCACAAGACTTTTGGAGGTCCCACCCCCCCCACCCCCCCCCCCCACCCCCACCCCCCCCCCACCCCCTTTTGTTAATTGATTTTTGTTTTGTTTTGTTCCCCTCCAAAAAACAATAATCCCCAAAAGCCCCCCCCCCCGCCCCCCCAACAAAGAAACATCCCCCCCCCCCCTAAACAACCCCTGGCCCATGAAAATCCCAATCAACCAAAACATGGTATTGTTTTTTTAACAGTGTATTTTGGGAAAAGGAAAAAATTTAAACGAAAAAAAAAAATTCCCCCCCTTTTAAACAATTGGTTGTTTTTATTCCCCAAGTTATTTATCCCCCTGCGTTTAAGATTTTATTGGATAAATATTTTTTTTTATTTTTTGGGCCTTCCGTTTGTTTTTTTTTTATTTAAACCTACCGAACCCCATTTTTTTCCCGTCCCCCCCTTCAATTATTCTTTGCCCTTAAATTGGTATACCAAAATCAAAACATTGTTGCCCCCTATTTTTTTAAATAGTATCATAATTCCAATGCCCCCCACAAGTGGGTTTTTTTTTTTAAAAGTTTACAAGGGTTGGCCTTTTTCCCTTCCGATTTTCCCACCTTCTCAGAAGAAAATCCCCCCTTTTTTCCCCCCCCCCCCTGCCCCCCTTTATTTTTGTTTTGAACCCCCCCCAAAACCATATAAACCCCCCGTTGGGGGGGGGAACCCCCACCCCATTCACCCCCCCCCCTTGGGGGTAGGCCCATAATTGGGCCCCCCGAAAAAATTTTTTTCAAAAGAAACCCCCCCCCAGTACCAGAGCTTTAGTTTTTTTTTTTGCCTGATAGCCCCCAATCCGGTAACAATGGGGCGTGGCTTTAGGGTAAAAAAGCCCAAATAAAAAAAGAAAGGGGGGAACCCCCCCCCTTTGGGAAAACCCTAACCCAATTTCCCCTAAAACCTGGGAATTTTTTTCAAGAGCCCCCCTGGGGGGGGGGGGGCTCCATCCCCTTTTCCTGTTTGGGAAAAGCCCGCCACAAAACTGGGGGACCCCCCCCCCCCCAAACAGAATGCCCCCCCCCCCTCCCCACAAGCCGGAAAAACCCCTTTTATTTTTTCCCCCCCACGCCTTTTAACCCCAAAATGCCCCCCCCCCCCCCACCCATAACGTCCCCCCCCCCCCCCCCCACCCCCCACTAATACAGTTGCCAAAAAAAAAACTACCACCCAGTGCAATTATTTAAATCAACACTGGGGGAAATAATATTTTGCCCCTGTTTTTTTAGATAAGCTGGGGAACCCCCCCCCTGCAAAAAAAAAAAAAGGTTACCCCAATTTGGCCCCCCCCCCGGCCCCTTTTTAATAAAAACTTGTTCAAAAAAAATTGATTTGTGGCCCCCTCCAAACCCGGTATATTTTCCCCCCCCCCCACCTAAAAAATTTTTTCCCCCACCCTGAAAAAACAATTACCCCAAAAAAAATCCAAACTGAAAATTTTTTTTTTTTATAAAAACGTTTGTCTGTTTTATTATTTAAAAAAAAAGATTGTTCATAACAGGGGTAAAATGAAAAAAAAAGGCCCACGCCACCCCCCCCCCCCCCCAAATTTTGACCCCCCCTACCCCCCCCCTTTGGCCTTTCGAAAAAATACGTACCCCTGCCCAACATTTTTTTTTGCCCATTTTAGTTTTCAAGATAGTTTTTATTGTCCTTAAAGTCAAATGTAACCCGGGGAACCCCAAATTTTTTGTTTGGGCCCAGGACCCAACCCCCCCCCCAAATTTTGAAAAAAACAGGTTAACAGAGGGCCCCAGAAAAAAAACAGTGGGTCCTTTCCCCCCCCCCCCCCCCCCCATATTTTGCCCTTAGGGTAATTAACTCCCCCATACCACCCCCCCGCCCCACCCCCCCCCCCACAATTTTTCCCCCCCCACACTTTTTCATTTTGGCAGCCCTGCTATAATATTAAAAACCAATTCCTTTTTTTTATGTGTTTGGACCCCCTTAGTTCGTCCCCCCCCCCTCCCCAACCTTTTATTTCCCCCCCCCGAGTCCCCCACCCCCCCCCCCCCCCCCCA